ATCTCTCTCTCTCTCTCTCTCTCTCTCTCTCTCTCTCTCTCTCTCTCTCTCTCTCTCTCTCTCAGCAGTGGCCTCACCTGTTTTGTCTGCATCAGCGTTGTTGTTCTCCAGCTCTCCTGGGAAGGTTGGAGGGGCGCGGACAGGAGTTACTGCTTCAGGAGTGTCGAATTGACCCTCTGAGTCAGAGCTGTGGAAGCCAGAGACAGAGAGAGAGCGTGAACTTTCCAAAACATTCAAAACATGAGAAAGCAGGAGGAGAAAACTGAAGAGCAGTGCTCATAATCACTGGGACTATGCACTCATAAGCAAACGGCTTAATCAGTACTGTGAAACAACTGCATTACAATATGTACAATATGTGCAAGGACAAATGCAATTCTTTATTTCATGCCTCCTGCCAATCACTGCAGTTCAACTGCAGAGTGATGTTCCCTTCTGACAATGTTCTACTTTAGAGACCTAAAGGCGTAAAACTATCATAATTTTTTTATTTCTTTGATAAAAAAAGCAAAGATCTGAGAAAAATGATCATAAGGATGATACCACAAAAGAGCCTATGCTGTTTTGGATACAAATCTGAAGTGTACTGAATATAATCTTGAATATATACACATTTTAATATTGTAGCATCATGTACAAAGAGGACTTTAATGTGCCTTTTACAAGTCTCTACTATCCCCAATCCATCTATATTACACCTATATATACAAAAATATATATAAATACACCTAATACTCTTTCCTCTGATGTTGCATTGTGCTTCTGCACTATTTGAGTCATGACGGCACTAAAGAGAAAGAAAAAGATTAAGTAAAAGAAAGAGGAAGTAGGGCAGCCCGCTCTTTCCTGTCACATCTTTAGCACTATAGTGCATGAGACTGCACCATACAAACTATTCAATGTATAGGTGTGTATTTATCTTAAAATAAGCTGTGTACATTGCAACTGAATACAGTTGCAATGTCCTTTTCACAGACAACTTTCAACACTGGCTTGTGATTTCAAAATTGTAGAGCAGCAACAACTCAACAAATCAATTTGATCTGATCTCTTCTGTAAGCCACATACATCACAGCGCAGTTAGATATTGATGTGACTCTGGTTAGATAACTGCATGGATAGTAAACAAACAAGGATTTTGGCATTTAAGGTCGAGTGGTGATACATTATTTGGGTTAATAAAATGTTCCAAGTGTGGAAGACAGCACAAACTTTACTTGGAACAATGGCGAGGATAATATCAAAGCAGACACGAGGAGCAGAGAGAATAATAAGGCCATGATGCCTTGAGCATGTGTCAGGTTCGTGAGCAACGATTACATCACTAAACTAAACCGAACCTGACTGCAGTGCTGGAGTGGAGTGTTGTTTCTGTGAAGCCACAGACATGTGGATGTATTGTCAGTGAGGCTGAGAAAAACATTGTGATGGCCTCAACCTCAGGCACACCAAACATGTGTCAGCGCTGAACAACATAACATTTGATGCATCTGTATGTAAACAAAAAATGTTGATGCAGATAAACCAAAAAGTGTTAATTGTCCCCCTCTTTTCCTTCATATAATTAGAGATTCCTCAACCGACAGGTGGATACACATGACAACACGTGTGAAAATGCCCCCTCCTCCTGTTCAGACAATGTGAAGCAACACTGTGACAGAGTCTCAGGGCTCCAGCACAACACTTGCCTGCAGCCTTGAGATCTCTCCTCCTCCTCCTCTTCTTCTTCTTCCTCCTCCTCTCCAGGTTGTTCCCTCTCCTCGCTGGCCTCCTGCCCCTCTTCATCCTCCTCTCCCTCTCCCCCTCTCACCGCCGTCCACGTCCATTTGGCCCATGACACAGGTGACAGCCAAGACATCGCTCCTCTTTCCACGGAGGGGGGGTTCTTCCGCCCTCTTTTGACTCAAAGACTCACTGGAATGGTTTCCAGAACCCGACTGAACCTTTTCTGTGTGTTTCTTCCTCAGATTTCCACCCTGCCAACAGCTCTCACATCTTTCCACAGAGACGCTCTCTTCACACGAGTTGCTAGTTCCCCATGAAAGGAAGGAGACATTTCTCTTCCGCTCTGCTATTTGTATATTCTCCGTCCTACAATCACAAAGGCTTCAGCTGCTTTCTCTTATCCTCTCTTTTAATGTCTCCAGTCACGCTCCTTGTCCCCCTGCCTCTGTGGCAGAATACCACAGCTCTGATCAGCTGGGTTTCAAAATGCTGTTCTCCCTCTCTCCTCTGCTGAACACCCCCTCCCCAACCTCTCCCCTCCACCTCGGGCCCGTCCACGGACAAAAAACACAGCGGGGGAGGCAGGACGCGTGAAGCCCTAGAAGCGAATGCAGCTACTCCTCGCTCAACTAAATGACTTCCCCTGTGGTTGGAGAATGGTACGATCCTGTCAGGCCGCTCTTCCACTCTGAAGCAGAAGGAGGGAGTCAAAAAACAAACAGAAGGTGGAGGAGGAGCTGGACTGTTGGGGCTCCACATTTTATAGCCCAGAGAGAGGTTAGGAATGTTGGGCTAGATCTTTAAGCCTACAGGCTTAACGGTTTCTCCCATCCAGCGGCAGGCAGGCATGCACGACCAGGGGAACCAGTTCTGTTGCGTAGCCCCAGGAGATCTACCTGGCTGGATTCAATGTGTCTGCGGTAACAGTTCACACAGGGGAACATGGCCTTCAGTGCACTCATTAATTGATGGTAAAAACTAGTGCTGGGCAAGTTAACGCGTTAATTTCGCGTTAACGCATTCATTAATTAATGCCGACAATTATTTATTTTTTATTGAAAGACAAGAGACAATAGATATACATAACAAGAGGATGACAAGAACAGTGGGATAAAAACCAGCAAACATCCTATAGTCAGTCATTTTAGTGCACCTATATGCTGAAATTCACGGTAAACGCATTTAAACGGCACAGATCGGGAGCGAGCAAAGGACTTTGAAAGTTAGCGGAAAGATTAACGTGAGACAACATCCGGTTTCTTCAGATGAACATCCGGTTTTCAGAATAAGATGCCAACAAAGTATGAATTATATTCACATTAAGTATAAAACATGCTACCTGCATCTCGTGAACCAAATGTTATTGCCCTTTTGTTCATATAGCAGTACTTTTAAAATGAAAGTGCGCAATACACTACTTTTGAATTCATTATTGAACTTTGCCATAACAATGCGATTAATCGCAAAAAATCCATGCGATTAAATATTTTAATCGTTGCCCAGCACTAGTAAAAACCCATTGTTGCATCTGACACAGGTACATGTTGTTGAGGAAAAGAAAGCGTCACATGACTCAGGATGTGTGTATGAAATACTTCAACAGTATTACAGAGTGTTCTCTGAAATAACTGATGCTTCTAAAGCCACTCGTCACAACAACAGAGGACTTAGACCAAGAGACCAAGTTTATAGATAAACCTCAGATCACTGTTTAGAACCAAGGTTAAGCCAAAACACAGTCTCACGTCAAAACTCAGCTGCCAGCCTTTTAACAAATTCAGAAAATACAAGATCACTTTAGCCCTGCTCTGGCCTCCGTTTACTGGTTTTTATTCAGTTTTAGAATTGATTTTAAGATTGTGCTGATTATGTTAAAAGCACTTTATGGCCTTGCTCTTAGTTATGTTGCCTGATTGCTGCTCCCCTATATGAGCCAGCCTCAGATCCTCAAGCAGGGCTCTGCTGGCTGTTCCTGAGCCCCGACTCAAAACTAAAGGCGACCGGCTTTAGAGTTCAGTGTCACTCAAATTTGGAAATTCCTGCCGGCTAATCCAAGGCTTGGAGAATCAGACACATTTTGTAACATGTTGTATCTGGTCTATTTGTTTATTTCACATTTGTAAACTTATTATTTGGTTGCTGGGTATTTAATGCTATTTCATTTTCTTTACTTTTACCGGCCTGATTTTATTTAATTGTGTCGTGCTTTGTTACTCTGTTTTGAAAAGTGAATTATAAACTAAGTTTCTTCTTCTTCTTCTTCTTCTTCTTCTTATCATTATTATTAAAGTTGACTTGTATTTGAGCAAACAACAATAAGCAGGAGTTGTCATGTGAGTTTTCAAACCAAAATGAAACACATGTCAGAGCTTCAATGTGGCCACAGCTTCTGGGCTTTTTCAAGAACTCATGTATGGTATTTTTTACGTTTTTTATGTTTTGCTTGCCTTGTCATATAACATGCGAATGCATCCTCTGTGTATTGTTTTCTAATACTGGACTCCTCCCTCATGGTTTGGTTTGGCCACGCAGCAGCTAAACTCCTCCCAAATTCCAATGGAGGAGCAGAGACACACGTGCCTCAGTCAGGCTCAGAGTTTCCACATAGGACCAGAAAGGGAGGAGTTTGTCCTCTGCCCACGTATTTATGTCTGGGTCTGGAGGGGCTCGAGGCTGAGGTGAGGATGTAGGGAACCCCTGCCTGCATTGCTCATGTGCAAGTATTAGGATAGTTATGGAGAAGTACAACGAGATAATCACTGAAGCACAAGGATCAATTTGTGCCTTTATTCTAGGGTCAGTATAGAAAAAGAAATAAAAGCACCAGGCGGTCCTATTTTTGAAGCCACTGAGCCACAGTGGAGCCCCTCAGTAGCTCAGGCTCATTAGAAGGAAATATTACTGTTCCCAGATGTTGTCCTTGTCTATCTGGTTAATAGACAAAGCTACAACACATGAGAAAAAGGGAAGGTGTTATCATGGTGTGTTTTCTGCATGTAGAGGTTATTTGGACAATAAGTTGAGAGTGAAAAGGGCATTAAACTCTGTTTTTATGGATTCTCAGTTTATTCTAAATTGCTCCCTGCACCATAGTGAGGGGCCAGTAAAAACTCATGGTAGCCAGGGATAAGTGGGTTATATGAACATAAACTCATAACTTTTCATTGCCAGTGCTTTTTAACAAACACACTAAAGAAACTTGAGCTGAGCACCGCCATCATTTTCACTCCTTTAAAAACAAACTAGTAGTCACAGTAGATAGCTTTATGCTTGTTTTCTAGTCTAAAAATGGGACCAATAAACATCAGTAGGTAGCGTGAGACAGCTGTGCGTCTCCAGATAAAAGCCTACCCCATTCTACCACCACCACAGCTATTAGAGGTCCTGCCAAGGAGCCCGACACTCCACCAAAATCCAAATAGAACTCAAAGAGCTCAGATTTCAAACACAGTGGGAGGAACCCAAAAGCAATTTTGAGAAAACAGAAAGGAGGAAAACAACTCAGGCCTTCCGAGCCCATTGTGGATTTTTTTCTCAGCAACACAAATTCTGCCTGCACTCTGTACAAATGTGACTAATGACATATTTATGTCCAGTCTCCATGCCAAGCTCAAAGAACGAATCCAGTAACAATATTTTTCTGACAAAGTTTCCCTGTAACTTCACAGCTCAAGTGTCTGAAAGAATTCAGAGATAATATTTGCACAGTATCATACTTTAAATACACTCTCGCCATAAATAGAGACAATTTAACTTGCAGAGGACAATGGGGGGGATAAGTGCAGACACACATGGAGGAAGGAAGTGAATCAAAATGCGACTAGAAGAATACGTATGTGTGTGTTTGAGGAATAGATTAGGAAGAGGAAGGACAAATGGAGCCATTGACAGAGGGGATGTGTGCAACAATTAGCCCAAGTTAGCATACAGTAGTCCTGACTTTTTCCTTGTCACAACTGTGAGGGAAACTAAAATGTCTCTGACAGCAAATATGAACAGAGGTAAACTGAACAGTGTGAGAGGAACATTCATCAAATGGCAGCTAGAATACTTGCTGAAAACATTTGGCTTTGACTTCAAGTTGTGACCACATCCTGCCAGACATGAGTAACTACCTTCTCAGGTCAGAAAGTAGGCTACTGCTCATGCATATTATTTCCCCCCAGTTTCACTCTGAGCTGTCAAAAACCAGAATCAGTATGTTGCAGTGACATCTAGTGGTGAAAGTGCATAGTGGCACAGTGCACTTCAAAACGTAAGAACATTGCTGAAAATGCTGTTTACATATTCTGATAGCAATAAATATCATCAATTTAAATACTGAGTTAACGAAGGTCATAAACAAACATAAAACTAGCATATGGCATCTATTACGAGACACACCTTTAAACAGTGCAAACTCAATTTATATTCAACATGCTTAAAACTGCACACCAATACACTGGATGTACATTGTGATGACATCTATAGCTGTGCACTGATCAACTGTAAACAAGTTTATGATGATATGCACAGTCCATGAGTTATTATACGTTTTTTTAAAGCCTTTTGAGCTCAATTCACATCCACTGTAAAATGCTCAGTATTGAGCTGTCACTCCATGTCCACAATCAACAAGCAATTGGGCTCACTTCCTTACCGGTTAGAGGGGCTTTATGGTAACCTACATCTTTTCAAATAACTTTTCTATTAATTACCACAAACTTCTCTCATGAACTACCAGAAAATCCTTTGCCTGGCTGGTAATCCAGGTTATTTTCCATGTAACATTATTCCCCTTCAGTTATTGATACAATACAAATAAATACATATTCCTGCAAATTCCCTAAGACCCTGAACAACCTTATAACAAGAACCTCTAAAATTAAAAAATCTAAACATTTGAATGTTTAACATGCTGCACCAAAATCAAGATAATTAGCATGTCAGCATACAGGCATTTTCTGCTTTCTAGAGTCAGCTGTTCTCTAGTATCAGCTGGAGGAAGACTGTCCAATCCTTTATATTTATTATTGTTGACTGCACTAACATGAAAACTGAGAGCAGACTGTATGCTGTTTTCTACCTAAGTAAAATATGTTGCTGTAAAGACCATAAATCAGAGATTGCAAAGTAAAGAGACGCTAAGATATGATCATTTGATATAATATATATATATATATATATACAGTATATGCCTGTTAGTTTTTACTGGTAACGTTAAGCTATGAAATTAGTTTTTGTCGAAAGTGTGGCAGTAAAGTTCTTCGAGATACGTGGTCACATTTGAAAAAAAGGAGAAGAAGTCCGCCAAACCCGAAGAAGAAGTACTTCCGTTGTACGGCATAGTTAGCTAGTAGTAAATGGCGGTTGTGAAAACAGGGTGGACAGTAAACATTACCACGGTTATAACTGTAACTGTCTCATTATCATCAAAAACATGTACTCGAGTGTGTCGGAAACACGGGATAGTTACAAAATGTCTATTTTCAACTTTCAGATCGGTTCATGTGTCGCGCTGACAGGAAAGTCACTGAAAAAGAGCCGAAAACGACGCAAACGGTAAGTGCAGCTATGAAGACGGAGCTAACGCTAGGTTAGCACAGTTAGGGTCATCAGGTAGTTAGTTAACGTTAACAGTTTATGTGCTTGCTTAGCAGTAGTATGGTGCTGAACAATATATAGGTAGTACACCGTACTGTCTATTGTATCTTTGGGGAAAAAAATTAACTAGCAACTTCCAGAAACAGAAATGCTAGACGAGCTAGCGCTAGCTTCAACTGTAGCTAATGTTCGGAGGCAGCTTTCCTTAAACGTTACAAGTTACAAAGTCGATTGTTAACGTCTTTTAGTTGAACTAATGGAGAACGAAAATGGAGAAAAGGACACGGAGTCTGAAGAGACTGAGCTCCGTCTCAAAGTGGAGTCGTTGAAGCGGGAGCTCCACGACTGCAGAGCCGAGCTGACCAAGTTACAGAAACAACTGAACCAGTCCGACAGACTGCAGAGGAGCACCGAGAGCTACAACGAGGACCTGAGGAAACAGGTCAGTGCATCACAATGACCTGTGTACAGGTGGTCTTTATTTAAGCTGGTCCACATCTGATGTACAGGTGGTCTTTATTTAAGGTGGTCCACTGGTCTGATTTTGTTAAGCCCCCTGTAACTTAAAGAATGTCTGCCACTTGAAATGATTTAAAATGTATTTTTTCAGGTTGACCAGCTGAGCGCAGAGATCCATGAGCGGAAGATGAAAAATAAAGACAGAGTCGACAGTGAAACTCAGACTGAAGAATATGTATGGACTGAAACAGGTGTGTTCATTTAGCATTTGCATTAAATAAAACATTTCCGTTTGTCAGAAAGCGAGTAAACTATTCCAACATGTTTTCAATATTCCTCAGATTATTACAACTACTACTATGGAGGCCACTCTCAGAACCCGGAGGCTTCAGACACTAAGGACGGCCTGAACAACACAGTAGCAGCCGAGGATGAAGCTCATGGCAGCGAGGCAACAGAGGTTTCCACACCAACTGAAGCAGTTAATGCTAATGCTAACCCTGACGACAGTGTTGCAGTCACAACAGAGGTTTGTTTTATTAAAAAGTTACTTAAAGTAGAGGTAATGGTTTCTTTCTTCGTGATTTAAAGATCATTATTAGAATTGGAATGGATGTTTCAACTAATCGATTAATGGGCTGATTGTATCAACCCTAATCCCAAATCCTGTACTGTGATGTTGATATGAATTAATACATTTAATTTATACATTAAATTATGACTAATAAATGGCATTGTCTCTTTCAGGAGGGTAATGGAGGATCCATAGCCGATATGTTGAGGGCTACTGCTGAAGAGGCTATGACACAAACTGGCTTTGTCTTTGATGAGACTACTGGGATGTACTATGACCACAGCACAAGCTTCTACTACGACTCGGTTCGTCAAACGCACTTTCTTTTAGTAAAATTAAGTTGTCTATAGCATAATGAATTCAGCAGCATTGTGTACAAGTCCGCTTATCTTGTTTTTTTCTCTTCCTCAGGCCAGTCAGTTGTACTATGATGCCAACACGGGCATTTACTACTGCTTTGATGCAGAGAGTGGACGATACCAGTTTCATTCCAGGATTGAGGTGCCTGCTGTACAAACCGCTGCAGAGCCATGCCAAGACAAGAGCGCTGGTGAAAAGAAGAGTCGAAAGCTCAAGAAAGGGTCCAAGAAAACATCCCACCAGGATGATAAGGTATGTAACACCTGGATCTGTTATTGATGCACATTGATGCAACATAAATACATCTTAGTGGCTGACAGCTGGCTTTGGACTTTGTAGCTCCCCCTTAAAAACCTTGATGTTTCAAATACTCATGACTATTGGTTTCAGTCTTCAAATGCTTGTTTCGTTTGTATTAAGTTGAGGTTAGATGACTGAAAGATTATCCTCTGACCTAGGTGCAAGAGGTGGCTAACTCATTGGCTAAAATGAAGATTTCTTCTTACTGGAAGACTGCTTCCCACAGAGGTATGCCTTCAATTCCAAAGCAATTAAAACAAAATGTTTTAATTGCAAAGCAATTAAAACAAAATGTTCAAGATATTTTTAATAGATCCACCACTCATACAGTTCCACTGAAAGTGGCAGGTTCGGTTAGTCACAACAATACATTTTGAAAGATTTTGACTGTGATGTGATGATTCACAGTCTTGTGTCTATATCAAGCTCTAAAGTGAGTGAGGAGATTTTAACACAATCAATAATGTAATGGTAGTAACCCTACTGCTAATGATTACACTAGTGTAGTTTGGTGGAGGTCTATGGTGAATTGTCTTTGAAGACTGAAACCACACAATTAGTGGCAGACATGACCAGCAGAATGGGATCTACAAAGCCAGCTTGCCCTGTCAGTGAACTTCACTGGAGATGGTAATCTCACTGTTGACTGTCTGATGGCAGGAACTCACATTTGATGAGGTAAAGTTGGAAGATGAAGAAACCGAGTGGGTTGAAAGGCAATCAACTAAGAGGACCACAAAACTGAAACGAAAGTCTCGCAGTCCAGACGTGGCTCCACGAAGAAAACACTCTTCCAAACGCAGAGCGGAGAGCGACAAAACTTCATCAAAGAGGAAGAAGCAGAAAAGGGATTCACACGACGATGATAAGGATAGATCAAGGAGGAAGAGGAAGAAGGCCAAGTCAAAAAAAACGAAGAAGAAAAAGAGTCCGGCTCGGAGCGACGGCTCGGAGGGGAACAGTGAACCGGAAGAGGGTGAGATCACAGAGTCGGAGAGAGAGGAGTGGGAGACCACTCCCTCAGTCTCATCGTCTTCTAGCTCCAGCTCCAAGGAAAGCCCAGAGTCAGAGATGGAGACTCAGAGTCAAGGTGAGATGAAAAACAAGCCCAATTTAGAGGTTGTTCAAGGCACACGTCTAAAAAAAAACAAAAAAAAAAAAACGGGTCAATTAGTAAAAGCTTTTTAGATCCTCACCTGTCATTTGCGCCGAACACTTCAGCCTGTTGAGGCCGCCATGTTCCTTTCACAATGCAGCTGGTTTATTTTTCTTGTAGTAAAAGACATCTGGCCGCCCTGTGTACGAGTGACGGTGGTCAGATCCCCAGTGATGCAGGTGGGCACTCTCTTCATCATCACAGCCGACTCTCCAGCCACCATTGGCAGGTTTGTGATGTTTACTTACATCTGCACAAGGTAGGAAACTTTCGTACCAAAAAAAAAGTGAGTGCATGTTGTTGTAGAAGGGTTCGTTAGTCCTGAGGGTGCAGCACCAAAGACAGAATGACATGGCTTTAAGTGATGTCTCACTTTGTGAACATATGAGGAATGAATCTCTCAGTAAGTCATAAAGAAGACAACCTGCTGTCTTTCTGTTGCAGAGAGAAGGATATGGACCATGCAGTCCGAATACCAGAAATGGGAGTCAGCAAGGTACCCCCTCTCCAGTTTTATTTGTGTCCAGTGATCTTCATAAATAATTTGCGTATTTGATGTCCCTAACTGAACTGCGTTTGGGTTCCAGTTCCACGCAGAGGTGTACTTTGACCAAGAGCAGCAGAGCTACATGCTGGTGGACCAGGGAAGCCAAAATGGAACCGTCATTAACGGCAACAGGATCTTGCAGGTCGACATTTTGTCTCTCGTCTGTTTGCCTCTAAATAAAACGGTTAAAACTTCAACTGAGCAGTGACGTTATCAATGCTATGTTCTTTCTGCAGCCCAAAACCAAATGTGAGCCACATGCACTGATGCACGGCGATGAGGTGAAGATGGGAGAGACGGTGCTGTCTTTCCATATCCACTCGGGGACAGATACATGTGATGGCTGTGAGCCCGGTCAGGTGATGGCTCACCTCAGCAAGCACAGGAGAGAGGAGGCTACAGGTGAGCCAACTCAAGAGAAGCCACATCCACAGAACTACACTTTCTGTTTGTATAGAGTCATGAAACCGAAGTGATATTACAGTGATATGCTTTTTCATTGTTTAAACCTTTCCTCAAACAAAAGCTCTACATGTGATTGCACTCACTAGTTGGTGCTTTTTAACCATGTTAGAATACATGAGAAGAACATTATTAGAGTTTTCCTCTGTATTTTCCCGAAGGTCCTGCTCTCACCAAAGAGGATAAAGAAGCACTGAGACAAAAGGAGCTGAAGCAGATGAAGGCAAAATACGGCCTGCAGGTGAGTGTTATCAGGACTAGCAGCAGCCAGTTAAACTCTTCTTCTCTTTATGCCTCTCACTTCTCGGTTCTCTGTGCGTTTGCGTAAACAGAGTAGTGAGTATGAGGAGGCCAAAGCTCTGAGGAACCCCAGATACCAGGATCGAGCAGAGTCTCGGCGGCAGACGGTGGGCAGCGAGGGTGTTTTTCAACGAGACGATGCACCCGCTTCTGTTCATCGGTAAGTATATCCTCCTAGACTAATCACTAAAGAAGGGAACATAATGGATGGATTAGTAACCATATCATATGTCTCACTTGTGTTCTCAAAGGGAGATCAGCGAAGTCAATAAAGGACGGAAGATGCTGGAGAAGATGGGCTGGAAGAAAGGAGAGGGTCTGGGTAAAGAGGGAACTGGAATGAAAGACCCGGTAAGACAATCTGTTGTTTGCAGATTCTGTAATGAATAAAAAGTATTGCAAAGCAGCACAATGATTTGGTTTCTTTCTCAATCTTTTCTCTGTAGATTCAATTGAAAATGAGAAAGTCCCAGTCAGGTTTGGGGGCGGGTGGTGCTGTGTCGCTAGACTGCGCCTCTGTGACCAAATCTAAGTCCCAGAAGAACTGGGAGAAAGCACGCGAGAGATTTGCTGACTCGTGCCAGCCTGACATGCTGTCACCTAAAACTCAGAAGAACAAGTCACCCAAAGTCTGGGTCAAAGAAGAAGAGACTGAGACGACAGACGCACAAGCAAGTGTTGATACAAACAACCAAAGTTTGGAATAACTGATGTGTATCTCTCTACTGCCCGAACTATTTTCTACATGAGAAAGCATCGCTGAAGACCCCAGCAACCAATCAAATCTGAGCTGGTTTCCTCGTATGTCACCATCATTAGTCTGTCAGTTTGTACAACACTGACAACCGGTTGTCCACTGCTTCATTTGTAAATGTTGCCATCTGTGGTTGTAGAATGTTTTTTTTTTTCTTCGTAAGTGAACTGTGTGGAATGTTTACAGTCGACGAGCAGTGTTTGTCTGACGGTCCAGTGTGTCTGTAGTCCGACCTACAGAGGGCAGAGCTGCTGCTACACCTCCCACATCAAGGAGGACACGGATCGCCTCGAGCAAATATTGACACAGTGGAGCTATATTTGTCACAATCAGATCATGATTAAACAACTGGATCTGTAACTGATCATGTTAACTGCTTGGTGTCAAGTGTCCCAACAAATCAAAAAGAAGTGCTGCACATAAACATGTGAACATGCTCAGCCTTTTGGTTCTGTTTGATTCTTTGAGTATTATTCTCATTAGTGTGTTTACCCAAAAAAACACACACACACACACACACATACATATCCACGTACTGATGTAAAGCCGATGAGCAAACAGTCCGTCAGTATGCAGTCTTATCTGTGGGTTCATTGTGAGGGTGTGTGAATATTTGCATGTGTGTGCAAGTGTCCGCTTTAACAGAGGCCACTCTCACACAGTAAAACAGCATTTTTCTTATTCTCACTGCTACTGCGTTACTATAACTCCAAATATGTTGACAAATAGGAACTAGTACTCTGAGACAGAGGTTATATGCCTCATTCAACACTGGTGCAGCTGTAAACAACACAATTCTACAAAGAAAGAACTTTCTCGGTTGAAAGTCCGCATTAAACAGGTGAGTGATTAGACTCACATGACGCTGCTGGTGTGACTCCTTGCGCTGGCTGTCTTGCCGCCCTTCTTCTGACTTATATTACCACCCATTTCTCTCCAGTTGATGGATAAACTGCCGCTGGTGTGTTTCCTTTTAGATAGAAGGCATACTCTCCTCTGAGGCGGTTCAGTGTGTGATTCTGTCAGGTTTCTTCTCCTCCCTCAACTTCACTGGAGGTAAACACTGTACAGATGATACTGTAGTGTAGTAAAACAGGGAGGGATCCGATTGTGCCAACATTGTCCCGGCTTGTATTGAGTAGAAAAGTCTCAGCCATAAAAAAAAAAAAAAAAAAAAAAGTGGTGAGTCATGAGATAAAGTGTGAATTCATTCTGTGAGGACGTGGCTCAAGGCTTGTGAGAGATCTGGCTTGACCAGTTCCTGCCACAGAGCATTCAGAGGAACACTAAGCCACTGTTCCTTTAGGTTATTCAGAAGTTATTATGCAAAATGTGAAGTGATTCTACGTCCTTTAGGGAAAAATCACCAGATCTGTGTTCTATTTATGGACAGGTGTGTTGTCATAGTGATAATAATGATCATAGTGATAACAGTTGTTTAATCTCTTCTGTTTTGTCGGCCATGTTGAAGCACATTTTCCCAACTGTTCAGCTGAATGCTGGAGTGCACACAGTAGGGGAGGAGATCACCTGTTGCCCTGTGATACAATATCATCCCGATACTAAAGTCACGATACAATCTTATAGCGATTTTAAACATTTTGCCATATGCTGATGAATTAAATTGAGATCTATTACCTTTTTTTTCAACTGCAAATTATGCAGTTTGTCTGTTTTTCACTCGATTTATCTCACATCAATCGTTTTATTGCAGCAAAATGTGTTTGTCAGTTAAGCAGACAAACTGATCAACCATCCATCTTTGTTTTGACTTCCTGACAATCGCTGACTTTACCCATGACCTCACCAGGAAAAACTCAGCACCATCAAATGGACCGAAAAAGCAACTGTTACCAAAAGGTTTATTTTGTATTTGCAATATTAATAGTTTATAAAATAGCAATAACAACTTTCCCCAACCCTTACAGGTTGTGAAAGCAGTGCCAGTTCATATTAATGAAGAAAGAATACACTTTCACTTCTGTCACAGTGGGAACATGTGAATGCTCCCGGGGCAACTTGTTTTTTCCTGGTATTAGACTCTCACAGGCAAGTGGAGACAAGTTGTCAGATTCTGATTGTGGGTTATGCCACAGACAAGAAATTGTGTTTTTAATCCTTGTGATTGTCCAAGAAAATCCTCAACTTGGACAGCAATAAAACAAATCTAGATATGTTGGCGTGAAGAAAGGAAGTTAGCTGTTCAAATGGTGCTGTGGAAGCTGATTGGTTTAACCAAACCTTTTTACAAAGTCGCTAAAACCTGCCATTACAATGTCTGGCTCTCATAATGACACCTTGTTTTCCACCCCTTCTTTAGGCTGCACACAGGTCAAAGGTCAAGGAGCGAGGAAAGGTCATCACCTGTTTCATACACCCAATCACACAGACTTGTAAAAAACACTGCTGTGTGGTGCATTTTTAAATAAGATTAGACAAAGACGAAGATAACAGAGGTATGTTTCAGGTATTCAGATGAAGTTCACGTCCTCACTCCCAATGTTTTGCTTATTTTTCTTATCCAAGGTTAAATTCATATGAAATTAAACATCACATACTGTCATTCTTAAATAAAATGATTGTTACAATATAGTTTTATCTTTAAGATAAGATGCATTATAAGTTGAATTACATGAAATACCTTAATAAAATACATTTAATTACATTAAATTACACAAAATAGACAATTAAAATAAATTAGTTATTATTAAATAGTAGATAGATAGTTTTATATAAATAGATAGTTTTATTAAATAAAACGAATTAAATTACATTAAATTGAATTATATTATTTAATGTACACTTAATCAATCATCGAAGAGATGTGGATCTGAAGAGTGCATGTTGAATAAGACAGCTGGGATATTTTAGGTTCATCAGCACTGCAAAGTGCATTCTTTCAGCATCCAGGAAGTGGAGAGTTGTGCAAACCGTAACCTCCGGTGTTAATGGATTGTTACAACTTGTTGGTGAGCTGATTTGATTCTTATTAAGTCACACAAATTGCCACCCAAATATGCTTTAAAGAGACGACCACGAGCAGACTTTGTTCTGTTTTAAGGGGTCCCAAACCGAAGACGTTTGTTCTGTACAGAGTCACTGGACTATCTGTCACATCACTCTGCCACCCTGTGGAAACTGTTGTCCAGACATGCAGTTATCCTGATCTGTCATGGAGATAAGCCTGACATCAACTGGTAGACTTTGAACACTGCTACTAAAATCTTTGCACTGTAGACTTCCCCTCGCTTTGTGTTAGAACGACCACACAGTAATAGTAAGAGAGCAACTCCTTCATCATCATCATTCATAGTTTCCCTACACGGGGCAGGATGTCATTCATTTCCATCATGGTCAAGGACTCGGCTCCCTGGAGTCTGTAACTCAGGAAAATGCTCCTCATAAATACAGTTCAGTTACTGACGGCCTCATTTAAAAGACTTGACTTGCAGTTTGCATGCATTTAGAGCTTGTCTGGTGTTTTGCGTTGCTAAGAGCAGACCACAACTTGTTGTTACTTTGAAATGCCGGTCACATTGTGTTTATCAGAGCGAGTCAGACAGCTGTGCAGCAGAATGACGTTCTTGTGTAATATACGGTGTAGACATAAACAGTCACGGGGGTCACGTGAGTGATGACAGCCACAAAATGAAGACAATAGCTCTACGGACAGATGGGAGTCCTCTTTTGTAATCCACTCCACTACGGTATGTGATGGTTCACTACAGCCAAGTAGAGCGCATGCATCTGGTGCCCAGATCAGGACATGAACAGGGTAATGTGTATGTTTGTAGTATGAAAAGAAATCCTGGATAAATAGTATTCCTAATGAAGGATGACACAAGCATGCTTTTGATTGTAAGGACCCAGCGTTTGAACAAAACGTTGAAGCCTTTGTGTGACACTGTTAATGCAAAACTCTACATATTCTATATAAAGAGCATTAATAATGTGTGCTTCAGTTGCACTTCTTTCGGATGGTCGAATGTAACTTAAGCAATTAATTACAATTTGGAGGCCCTTGTACATTATTTGAGTATTTGCGTTATACGATACTATTTATGTCTACTTCACTACATTTTGGAGGTAAATATTGTGCTTTTGACTCCACTAAATCTACTTAACATCTTTAGCTGCTGGTTAATTTGCAGATTAAGATTATTAATAAGATAATAAATGATTATGTGTTATTATTGGTTAAGCTACCCAACAGTTTATAAAGTTATTAAAACTAGCTCCACTTTTACCTCACTAACTTTTTACTTCACTACGTCACTAATTATAATAAAGTAATACAATATATTTGATTGTGAAATGGGCCATTCTGCATAATGAGTACTTTTGGGACTTCCAAGTATATTTCGATGCTAATACTTTCATACTTTTGGTAAAGTAAGAGTTTGAATGTGGGGCTTTTACTTGTAATATTTGTACACTTAGGCTACTTTAGTAAACGATCTGAATGCTTCTTCCATCACTGCTTGGTTTCTCCCTCTGTCTGTGACCCAGACAGAAGCAGAAAATGACCCGACACACTTTCATTTCATCGTAGCCAGAACACGTCTTTCTGCCTGCGTCTGCAACTCTGTGTTGTTGCAATCTCAGTCTGTGCTTGCGATTCCATTGAGAGGCATGAGACCAGAAGCCACACAAGTCTGAGGAATAGTCCTGTGTTGACTCAACTCCCCCCCCCCATCCGTCCGTCCGTCTGCACCGGTGACTGAGCCTCTCTATAAATCAGAACAGAGCACACACACCCTCAAAACACAAAAGATTGCGCTATTTTAAAACGTGTCAGGAAGGCAGTCGAAAGAGATTTGAGCACATGAAATGCACTTGTTGGATGTGAATGCATCATGTGAGGAGAGGAGATGTCAGGAAGTGGGGGTTTAAATGCCTCCAAGAGTTCACAGGTCATCCAACTTGTTATTTTTTAGTAAAGAGGAAATGATCCTCATTCCAACCACATTCCACTGTGAATATGTTCTATACTTAATAAAGCACCCTTCTTCAAAGTGGTCCTTTTCATGTTAGGAAATTAGATTACACTATTTGGAAAAAATAAGCCTCTTGCACAAACATTTTTTGTGTAAAGCTGAAGTGCATTATGTAATCCTATCAAAGCTGTCATAAGGTCTTCTGTTTGTGGATTTGAGGGGGAAATGGCTCTTGCCATGTACGTCACACCACGTGTCTCAGTATAAATACCACATCCAGACCAAAATTCTTGCACTCCAAACTGAATGGAAATTCCCGACGAGTGACTCAGTCGGAGCCGCTACTGAACGTCTTCCACCGCTGGCCTTTCCTGCTCGGAGCCCGAAGCCTCTGGGTGTGTCTCCCCTGTGACCTCATCTTCCCAGAAAATCCTACAGAAACCTCAGCAGCACAACTGCTCACATGATGCAGCCTCCGTGTTGACAAGAACAAAACCGGTCAGTTTATAGAAACAACATCTCACTTTGCTTATAACATCAACAGCACTGGTGGTGGTGCCGGTGCCCCCAGACTGTTCATTCAACCAGAGTATCAACCTGTGTGTGTGTGTGTGTGTGCGCGCGCTGACTAGCATCCTGTTTATACAGCCTGATCCCTGCTGTGACAACTTGTACGACCCAAACTTTCAGTCTGAACCTTATTGTTCTTGCTGAAGTTCTTTCCATTCAAATCTCTGTGACTTATTCTGAGGACAAACCTCTTTCAGGAAGCTGCCTGTTACTGTAAGTCTTCACAAGAGCAGCGTTAATGAACAGAGGTACCGCACATCACACCCGCCACAGACTGCTGTGTCGACGAGCGAGGGGAATGATACATTCGTGAAAAGAGGCTTTGTGCTCACGCAAAAAGACAATAGCTCCCACATGGCAGCAGGACTTTCAACCCAGACTAAGCACATTAAATGAGTCATCTGGCATTCTGTCCAAAAGTCAGCAGATCACAAGCAGAAAACACACAACAAACATATATTGTACTCAAAGCACTCGATGCTATAAATACCAGGGCACCTGACAGGCAGAGAGTGAACCATACCTCGGCTTCTCTGAGGACTGACGGGCTGTGGCGGATCTGCTGGGAGGTTTGTGTCCTTCACAACACGGCGGATGGAAAAGTCCTTGATGAGTGACGGAGGTCCTGAGGGGAGTCTGAGCTCCGACTGCTTGTTGGAGGTGCCGCTCTCTGAGGGGAAATACTTGTTCTCTCTGCGTGGCGGAGCTCACTAGTCCATGTGGCTGGATGGGAAATGAACTTTCTGGGCAAAGAGCCAAGAACAGTGTAGGTTTTAAAGGCGCAGCGGTGGCAGAGCTATATAAGGTTTGGTCACACTTTACTGCGTGAAATAAGGTGAGACGTTGTCAGCTGCTGTGTTTATCAACTTCATGCATACTGCTTTATTTCCACCGCTTCACACTGAACATTTAAAATTGCAATTCACTGTAAAAACTATATGCAGCATTGCATGGTCATATCATCTGACTTTAAACTAATATCATAGCTTCACACTAGCAGCTTTAGTAGCTAAAATCTACATACATTTAAAAACTCACCACAGACAGAATATACCTCTTCAAGTGCAGGAAAGTGAAAAAGTACAATTTTGAGGCACGTACTTGTACTTTACTTCAGTATTTAAATTTTCTGCTTCTTTATGTTTCTACTCCACTTAAATTCAGAGACAAACATTGTAGTTTTTACTCCACATTTATTTGATAACTTTAGTTACTAGTAACTTTGCAAATTCAGATAATCAAGAAATGTAATCAAATGACCCCTGGGGAAAGTTCACAAGCTACCCAGCAGTATATAATCAGTGTAATATACATTATTCTGCATTAACATTTTGATGTGTGTACAACTTTTACTTTGACTTAAAGCTTGATGGTCTTGTGTACTTATGTCATTTAGAGGCATCAGCATTAAATTGAGACTGTTTCATAACCAGTTAGAAGTTCCTCACAGTAACTTTAAATACACACATTTTTGAATGCAGAACTTAGAGTATTTGAACACTGTGGTATTGCTACTTTTACTTCAGAGTACTTCTTCCACCACTGCCATCTTCAGTGGTTTCTGCACTCATCTATGCGATCTTAGTAACTAATTAAAATCCCACTGAAAATGAGATTAGAAGTTTGCCTTTCTTGTAATGTACCTGTTTACAGAACAGCACATTTTGGTGTCATAATTTTACAGCTTTTGTAAAACTATGCATAACAAAAGCAGTCTTGAGTTGTAAATAAGTGAGGGTCTCCCTCTAGTGGTTAGTCCTGAGAAGGCAACTGCAGCAGAAACCCCGGCTACACATCTGCCCGCTGCTGCTACCAGATACTCTGTGCAGCATAGTGTCCAGACAAAAAATGAAAGAAAGAAACACGTTTCTTTTATCATATAAGATTGTATTTTCTATGTAAATTTCATGTGTTTTCTATGTGTTTTTTTTCCATTCTGAAAGCTATAAATCAGAATCAAGTATTTTAATCGAACTGGCCTGCAGAGGCTCAAACTAAAGGTCCGATGGCCCATTGACAACACATATCTGCACTGCAACATGCACTGTTAAAAAGTTGACTGGCCCATGTCATGTAAAAAATGATATATAACGTCCATTTGTATCAATAACCATCATCATGTTCAATAAACACACAACCTCCCCTCTCTGGCCCCAGGGAGGGAAATGTGATAGCTAATGAATTTGTACCACAGACTCATCACAGACTCTTCATCATCCAGACTCTTCATCATCCAGCAGCAAGCAGCATCTACTGGGGGGGGGGGGGTTCCAAGAGCCGTGGTTTCCATCTCAACATGTGATGAGATCATTCTCTCTTGTTGCTGCTTCCTTTTCACTGTGGATTAACAGGCTGGACTTGATCACTTATGCATCCTTTCCTAATCCTCTTTCATTCACACGGTAGCCTGGCAACAGGCTACTGGATACTAAGCACAGACACAGCTTCATTTCCCCACTTCTACACGATGAGGTGATCTAAAGGGCTTGGTAAACATCAAAATGTCACGTGTCTCTAACAATGATGACATACTATATGCCGGGCAGTGCGTTTGTTAATAATTCAAGGTGACTTTCTAGGTATACATTATACAGTATCTTGAAGATCTAGCACTCATTGTCACAGTAACAGACTTACTATAACCAAGTCTGGGAAATATACCCATTTGGACATATAGATAAGCATATGCTATGTGAAATCAGTGGAAAGATAACAGCCAATCACAGCCAATCCTTTATCAGCTTTTTACTGAGTGGTTTGGTATCCAGAACATACTATTTTCTGGCTAGAACAGTTTGGGTTATTTCACTTTAGAGATTTCTGTTTTACCTTTTTCTCTGAGCTCTTCTCACTGGTTTGTGGCGGGGGAAACGGCTGGTCGAGTTACACTAGAGGGGTTTCTCTCTCAGTGAAGTCTTCCCTGCATGCTGATAAACAGAGGGGATTCTCAGCTAAAGAGAGGCTGGATGAACTGGCTGAAGATGAGCTCCAAATCCGCAAGCACAACGATTTCCAATAAATACAAAACAACACATAAAAATGGCCTAAGGACCGTGATAATGTAAAAAAAACTGCACATATCCAGATCAATTTATTTAAAAAACAGATTTTGCATTAAAATGCAAACAACTAGCAGTGCACAGAAAAGACATTCTTGGCCCAGATATCTGCTGGCTCCACCAGAACTCCCTGAAATATAGTCCCTTGCCCCCAGAAGATTATCCGTCAATAGACCGATAGCCGGTAGGTTCCAATGTTACCGTCTATCAAATCTGATCAAATCACATCCACACTATTGAATGTCGAGAGAGGACCTTTATTCCTCCTGTTAGCCTCACATTTACTCACATCTTGGGGTCAAGTTGATCCCAGCAATTCAAACTTCCAGACAAAGATTGTAATCAAAATGACTACCCGACTTTATGTATCGGGTACTTTATGTCTCTTTGTTGACTACCTAAATACCCCTTTAGGTAAAACATAACCATACCCCCTCAGCACTTCCTCACTCCGGATGTACGATGTGAAAAAATGATCACGTCATTTTATGACCTTTCAGTCCTTCGACAATGTCTAGTCTAGTACCTCCCTCATGCCCGGATTATCTTCAGGTGTGTCTCCAGGGAGTTTCCCATGATGCCCATATTTTGATACCATATTTGTCTGGTCTGCTTGGTATGTAATATGTGTATCCGCTGGACCAACTTGTCCAATACGTTCTGCATAGCTTGTCTTTCCAACTGTCTGCATACAAGTGAGGAGAGGAACCACGAAAACTTTCCATTTTTGGAAATAACATGTGCGGTGGAGGCCAAGAGAGGAGAGAATCTGAAGGTGGTTGAGAGACAACATGACCCCAAAGGTCTCGTTCTTATCAAAGGAGGACGCCTCATAATCCTCCTCAACATTATCGGCAGTCTCTGACACATTCTCCTTTATGTCACTTTCACAGTAAAAAAGCTGCGACAAAACCTCATTGGCAGAAAACCTTTGTTTAGCTGTAATTATCAATCGAGACAGAGTATAAAGAGAGAGCACACAGAAATGGTTTAGAAGGCTGCTGTGCAAATTCTGACATGTCTGTACCTTCCTTATAAAGGTCCTCGAAGGGTCATAGTTCCCCTACCTCATGTCACATGATCTGTCAGGGGTTCTTGCACCACTACAGGTGTGGCTATGCCAGGTTAGGGTCCTAAAGATTTAAAATTGCATGTGATAGTGACCCCTGTGTCAGCCTTTTAATCCCTACCTGGTAGTAAGTGTACAGAGGGATTTTACCAGGTTTTACACACAATCACATTGTTTTCACGTTCCCATTTCTGTGATACATCATTATGAACATTATCAACCACTTTAAAGGAAAATTTCGCCAACAAAGCAACAACTTGTATCAAATTTAGTCAACTCACCGCGTGTTAGCTTGAATTCTTGAAGAAAACGTTGACGCGGACTCGCAGCGCGCATGCGCACACATGAGACCGTGGTAGAAGAAGGGTAAAGATTTTGGCGTGCGCATGCAATAAAAAAAAGTTTTCCTCAAGAATTCAAGGTAACGGGCCTACAAATGGTGATTTTAAGGGTGAAGTATTCATTTAAGATTTTAAGTCAAGTTTTGTGGAATTTTACGTATCAACATCATTTGTATGAAAGTATGTATTTTGCAGGAAACACTACACCTAATGTAACCTAGTAGGCTAACTCTATGCAAACCACAAATTAAAATGCTCTTTATGTACACTCTGCTTTTTACCCTATTACAGCTCCCCCCCCCACCCCCAATTGTAACCTGAATTCCCCTTATCAATTGACACAATAAAAGAAAACATTGCAAACGTGTATTTAGGTTATGTCTCTTAATCTTAATCAGTAATGAGCTTCAGATCCTAGTTTCACTGGCACTGATCAGATGTGTATGGATGGATGTGATGAGGATGTTACATCACTTGCAGTGCAGCCAGACGCCAGCAGCAGCATCCAGCTCGGAGGTAACGCGGCGCTCATATACCCAACTGGCCATATTGTGCACCAGCTCTCCGCAAATCGGCTGCGTCACACCTAAAAAAAACATATAGCGGCTCTGGAGCAATAAATTCACCCCATCAGGAGAAATACGCTGTATTCAAAACGCTTCTCGGCTGAGCTGGTAAGTATTAGGATGCGGTAAATCCAATATATATTTTTTCACGGTGATGCATCGGTCCCTTTATGTCGAAGCCTTGCATGTCCTCTCCTGCGCTTTTGTGCCTAACAGGCTTTCTCATGGGCCACAAAGCGGCTCGCGTCATTTTGTTTGATTTGTACTGCTGTATGCATGTGTAAAAAAAAAAACGCCAGCATGATTATGGATATGATGCCTTGAGTGGTTTATGAAACGTCAATTACACAGGAGCAGAAAATAATCCATAATGCCTCTCGTTCAGAAGTAATACGCACATGTTTACCCCCCTCAGGTTGGTGTTATTTTGTGCAGAGAAAATGGTGAAACTGGGGAATAATTTCAGCGAGAAAAATAACGGGAAGGTGGCGTCTGAAGACGGGTTTGACACCATCCCTCTCATAACACCATTAGATGCCAGTCAGCTGCAGTTTCCTCCACCAGATAAGGTACGATTCTTTTGTGTGTGTGTGTGATATGTTTCCATTGATTTGAAGAGCCACAGTGAGTGGCCCATTATTTATGTATTACTAACCAATTAGTCCAATTAGAGTGTTGAAAATGAAGGAAACCACGTTTTTTGTGTGTTACCACATATCCTCACAGATCTATTATTTCCATAGTACAATGCTAACAATTTGACCCATCCTGCTTCTGGGAACTCTCATTTTCTTCCTGAAGCTGTAACAGCCAGCTGATTGGATCGTCTCTCATGCACATGTCTTTATGTGTTTCTACCAGGTGGTGGTGAAGACAAAGGCCGACTATATTGAGAGCAAGAAGGGAAAACTACGATCTCCTAAAATCGCAGAATTCTCAATAAGCATCATTGAAGGCGTATCTGAGCGACTCAAAGTAAGAATGATGTCGCAGCCATCGACTGCGTTTCCTACATCATCCCATTTCCAATATGTCTCACACTCCTACACATGCATATGCCCTGAGAGCCGACAGCTGTCTCCCTGGAACTCCCTACTATTTGTCACCGCCGTCATAATAATCCCTCACCAATCCAAGTCATACTTCTTTCGCTCAATCCACCTTCATGTTCCTGCATCCCGTGCAGCCTGTCATGTTGTCGGGCTACACAGGGAGACATAATGCACAATGATTCACTTAACCCCGCCCTGAAACTCTCATTAATTCAGCTGCTGCCATGGCGATGGCCTCCAAATGGCAGCATCTCTCCCACCTCCTTAAACGCCCCCCCTCCTGGCTGCGTGGCACAATGTGACACACGATATAGAATGATTAAAACATGCTTTTGTAAAAGAAAAGGTCCAACCACAATCCTGGGTGCCTGAAGACTTCCTTGCATACTTTAAAATTCATGAACTATGTGTTCTGCATGCAGACTACGCAATACCCTTCCTCCACGTCCAAAAGCAACAGATGAAACCGCTTCAGTGTCACCCTCCCTTTGGTAATATTTCTTTAATCCCCGAACATCTGAAAGGCAAGGAGGCACATCACTGTCTCAGAGAACACAGCGCACATCTTCTGATCAGCATGCTTTGAAATGTTTCAGGCAGCCCTTTTTATCCCTTTCATCGCAGATAGTCTCTGTTATAATCTCCTGTTGCTTTGCCTCGTACATGTCCTACTGTCTGTTCCGCTCTGTGTGTGTGCGACTGCGAGATTCATACAGACAGATAAAAAGTATATCATTACATGCTGTTTTAAGTCTCTTCAAACTTGTGTCATACGTGCTGGGGAACAGTACAAAAAGGTAGTTGGAGTTTCAATTTCTCTGCACTTGCTGAAATAATCAAATTTCTCCACAAGCAAAATAACATCTGGACTCATAAAAATAGCTTGCGCACACATTGGGCCGTAACATCTTTGGCGTTAATGAGCCCATTTCTCCCACACCTTGGCTTATCCCCCTCCCACTTCCTTGAAACATCAGTAGCCGTTACATAACTCCCCTGAGAGGTGAGAGCTGGGCTTCACAGATGGTCACACAAGCCATTTTCCTGTGGAGCTATTGTATGCAGACTACTCTGTACAGACCTGGCTGGCTGTGAGCTACTGTTATGTATAAACCCACTTATTTAGACATATATAGTGTACACTTAACCTACACCAATGGGCAACTGAGGTTTATTTCAATGCTATACTTATTTTACAGTACTCTCATAAAAATGTGTCCTTTAGCGGTCCCTGTCACATTGGTCTGATGATGGAGCTGTTGTGTATCTCCTTTAGGTGACTTTGCTGGTGATCTGTGCCCTGGCCTTCCTGGTGTGTGTGGTGTTCCTGGTCGTCTACAAGGTCTACCAGTACGAGCAGCCTTGCCCCGACAGCTTTGTTTACACGGTAAACACTCATGAGCATCATTGTTTGTGACCCTGCATGAGATAATCATTTTTATTTTATTGTTAGCTTTGTAAACCAACAATCTTTACTTTGTGAAGTTTTTTAGCAATTTTTTTTAAAGAGTGATACAACCATCCTGCAATAAGTGTGCTATATACTGTACATAAATCATACAGACAGCCAGGCTGTCATAATAGATGTCATAATGAAACTAAGCATTTGCAGGCCCATGTTTTTACCAAGAATCTGTCTCACAAATGAAGAAATTCAAGTTAGATTTACCATTTATTTACCAACAAATCTGTCCTTTCAATTTCTCTGAATAGTTTTGAAACAATCTCCTGGTTGATGATCTATCATCGAATCATTTTCTATTTGATATTAATAGTTTTTCACTACTGCCCCATGTTAACAGCTTTATATTTGTAAGTGACTCTGAATGAATTCATCTGGGTTTAAATTAAAATAAAGCAAGGCTATGTGGCTTTCAAGATAACTAATAACATAATCTTCCTTTTACAAATGAAAAGTTGAATTAATAAGCAACAAAACACATCATTGCTCAGTTCAATACCTTCAGGGGTTTTGCGGCTACAGCCTTACTTCAGATGAACTGTAAGGTGGCTAATTCTAGCTAATGTTGGCAAACTTTAGATAAACATTGCTGTTACAGTAGCTTAGCATTTTAGCTTAAAGCCACAGACAGTGGTCGCTGTTCAGCTAAAGTTATATAGCTTTGCTGTAAAACCTGTGTAAAAGTGTTGACTCAATTCTTGTACATGCGATAGTGTCGACCTGTGAGAATAAGAGGTTAAAGATAATGGATGGATGTTTTTCTGGCTTTTCATTTTCCTTCGATCTTTTCCTCTCGTACAAACAGCACAGCTCTGTGTTGACAGTCATCTATCCTTTTTATCTTATGTATCTGTGATTTGTGAATCACAGTTTGTTTCTCGGAATTCCATTATACTTTCCTGAATAATAATGTGGTCACCTTGCGTGTTCTCTTCACATCGTCTCATCTCTGCACTTTTAATCTCGTTCCCTCTCTCTTTGGAGCAGCAAGGCCGCTGCATGCCGGCTGGGATGTACGGCAACTACCCCCCTCAGGGCCCTGGGGGCCGCGGGCGCCTCTTTACCCTCATCAACCACTACAACATAGCCAAGCAGACCATCACCCGGTCAGTATCACCATGGATGACCATCATGTCTGAGGAAAAGGTCACCCAGCAGGAGACGGAGACCGCCCAGAAACTGGCTTAACCAACCTGGGATCAGGAGGTGGACTCACCTGCTTCAGAAATAAATAAATAATACGGTTGTGCCATTCAAGCAAACCTCAAGAGTCCTGGGGCTTTCTGTTGGTGAAAAATCAACTTCTCTTGCCTGAGATGCTCTGCAGGCTTGTTGATGTAGTTTGGGCAGCTGATGTGCACTGTAGCAGGAAATTTTGAACATACTGAACAGCAAAGCAAGCCTCACCGACCGGGGTGGATTCATGGTTTGTTTGAATCGCATGTGTTGTTATTTATTTACACTTTAAAACTGTGTGGCTAATGTGTAGAAAAAGCCAGTTATACAAACACGTACACACACACATACACAGTCTTTGTACATATATACACACACACACACACACACACACACACACACACACACACACACACACTCTTTGTACATACACATGTAACAGAACTCACTTTAGTACTCACATTTGTGAAATGACTGTGAACCATCTTGTGTCTGCGTTGCTTGTTTTAACGCACATGCACGCACAACTCTTCAGTTGGTTTTGAACCCGTTTCTTTTGAAATAGATCAAGTACTGTTATTGCATGTCAGACCTCATGAGGTCCAGTGGTACATTTCCCATGAAGCGACAAAGTGTGCAGCAAATTTGCCCACAGAGGTCATCTGTGTAGAATATTTTACCGTCATATTGTGAATAAATGAGGCTCGACATGGAGGAAACCTTTTAACCAGCGGGAAAAAAAAAAGATCTATTTTAATTGTGTTGTTTTGACGCAGCCCATACGGCTCTCTGCATATAGTGCTGTTCAGGAGTTTTTAGTATTTGATGCATCAAGTCTTTTCAACCAGCATTAATGATTGTCTCCATTCATTTGAACTCTTTGTGAACACCGTGTGCTTTTTTTCTTTGCTGGCCACTCAATGGTTACTTTTCATAGCATACCTTTTATGCTACTGTATTGAATGTGTTTTTTGCATTGCTAGTGAAGACACTGTATTGTGCAATGCTTTGCATTGATTAATGTCCCCATAGATGGCTGTTGGCAGCCATCACAGACACTAGACTTAGGTTGATGTAGTGGAACAATCTGACAGTAGTCGCTTGTCCTGTTGCTTTTCTTTTCTGCGTTTGTCATGAAACCTAAAACTGTACCTTTTTCAAACAATGTAACGATTACCATTGAAGTGCATTTGCTACATAAAAAAAAAAATGTTAAATGAAAAACTGAAATAAAGTGCCCACATTTCACACCTATGTCCCAAGTGGATTGCATATATGAATAAGAACATTTTCATGAACTACTCCAAGAGGAAATCTCGTCAGTGATGCTGGAACCCCCCTCGGTGCAGAAAATAAATACAGTTAACAGCTCCAGCTCCCTTGAATTGAGATCAAAGGAAAAATAATTCAAAGCGCTGTAATGCTTTAACTAGGATATAGGTTAATCCTAATAAACAGATTAGCGGAAACATCAGGAGGCTGTGAATCAAATCTCCTGTCGACAGCTTCTTTCGTTAGCTGACATGAAGCAGGGCAGGCCGTGCCGTTCTGCTGCTCTGGATGTTATCTGAAAGCTTGACATGAATATGAAACAACGGTTATAAATTGATACCCTCAAGTAAAGAAAAGACACACAGAATTAAATTAAGACGATTGCTTAGTTTTACTAGAATGCGGAGTCAGTACAGTTGTGCCGTGATAGATATATCGAATAAATTGCTCTGCTGCCCATAATTGCCTGTAAAGCAAAAACATTCATCAGGATTTGACAGTGAAGTATAATTTATGTGTCACTGACATACACACATGTATAATCTATTCAAATAGTGTACATGTGACAGTAATAGTAATGCCAGTCTGAACAGTATCCTTCAGTCTGTTCCAAAGGGGATAAGAAAGTAGTTTTTTTCAGGCGTTCAAACCATCATCGCTGCTTTTAGTGGCAAAGAAAGACGGAGTGTCTTGCTATAAACACGTAAAACACGTAAAAGAGGAAAAATTAAACATGGAAGCCCTGAAAGCACTGGACAAACACTATTTAGATAGTTAGCATCGGGGGAAGGACGAACTGCCATGTCCACTTGAACACAGAATCTTCACGAAGAGCACTTTGCACACCAGCTCCAGCATGGTAAACTGTACAGTCAGTCTCAGTGTTGCCATCATCACCTCTTTACGAGATAACCAATATGTGCCAGAGCCAGACGGTTTCCTGTCGAACATAGAGTCCATTCTGGCTGGTTGTGTTAGCTGTCGTACCAGTCCAGGAAGAGGAGAGAGAAGGAGCACATGACCAGGAAGAACAGGATCCACACCCGGAAGCCAGCGTTGTTTTTGATTGCCTTGTCAAATAAACAAAGTTGGTCATTACAGATTTATTAACATGAACCAATGAAAAACACAACATAAAGTTTGAATACCACATGCAGAATAGATTAGTGACGTTACCTCTCGTATATCCTCATTGCCTTCTTTGACGTTTTCTGTAGCACCCACAACCAGCTGATGAATGCTGCCTATCTCGGTTTCCTGTCACGGAAAGTGAAACGGACAAGTGAGTTCAACTTCAAGCTGCTTCTCGCAAACAAAGTATTCAAGTGAATGAAATGGCAGGAACTCAGCTCACTTGTTGCAGGACTTTCTCTGCAAAGATCTCTTGCAGTCGAGAGATCTCCACCACCTTCCCCTCGATTTGCCTGAAATGCACAAAAGAAATGCTCGACATACCCCATGAAAATAAGAGTGCCTAGCTCGTTGAAGCACTTTCAGGTGGCATTAGTATTACAGGGGCATGCAATTGTCATCGTAGGACAATTTTTGTCCCATTTGGAACAAAACAAACTAGTTTTCTCTGGCTACCACGGTAGCAATTCCATCTGCAAACACCTGTCCGTGGGTTCCTTTAATCCTGCATGGATGGATATGTGCTATTTCACGTAGTTGTTGTCTTGCTGACCTGGCATCTCAATCACTAGGGCGGTGTAATGGATCTCTGGATCACCACCAGTAAATCATTTTACCCTTCACTTCCCTGATTCACAATACAGATGTGTGAACAGAATGAAATGAATGACATCCCATGCTGATAGACGTGTTGATTAGAAGAGATTTAGGAAAAAAAGAGGGAAAGTAACATGTGTGCCGAGCTGGACTCACCTCACTTCATCCACCAGGCTGTTCATCTCACTCACCAACCTCTGGTTCTCCTGCTCAAACTAGACGGAAACACACAATAATGAAACATCTTCATCAATTGTGTGCGGCTACCTTGAGATGCCTAACATTTAAACATGACATGGGGCAATTAGAAGTTAGAATTAACTGCATGTTACACTATACCGTAACCACAAACGTCTGAGGGTGTCCCTCTGGAAAATCAGCTGAACTGGCTAATTCAAAAAATATCATTCTCACTGAAAACCTTCTCAGTGAAGCAATGAATGTGTTTTACCAAGTCCCTGTGCATTTAGAAGTTGTCCAAGTATAGCTGTACTCTATGAATTTTAATTCCATTTTCAGTTGAAATTTTGTAATTTTAGGCTGCCTTCAAACATCTGGCCGGGGACAGCAGATGGAAATTAGGCTCTCTGGCTAACTCTGGCTCACGTACAGTTGATTGGTGTGCATTGTCCCTGCAAAATAAATATACAAACAAAGAAACAAACACGCACGAATCACACAAATCTACATATACTGTACGACATGAATGATGAATAATGATGGCGCCTCACCATCTGGATCTCCTCAGGAGACAGCTCGTCCTCCACTCGGTCCTCCTCCCACAGGTTGACAGGGTTGTCCAGGACCTCCGACACACTCTTCTCTGCAGGAAGGAAAAGCTCACAATGTGTCTGTCATCACTTACTCAGTCGTTGACTTTGTTCATCTGAACCACTCATGAAGTAGCCAATTCTCTTTGAAAGGGAAAATGTAACCCTGAGCGGTTATTGAGATGGATTTATTTAGATGGGAGTACAGCAAAAGTTGATTAAAATGTGCAACATTTATTTTGGAGCCTTCAGTTTTTGTCTCTTAATTTGATAATAAGATTGAGGAAGTAATGCCTCAAAGCAGCGTTCAGGGTTCACTTAACAATCCTATTAACGAGATAATAACAATGAAGACTTTTTGACACGCTACTGTCAAAGTTAGCCAAAACCTTTGCTGTCATAATCAAGCTGTAGGACATCACAATGCCATTAAAAAGCCACTTTATAATTAAAAGTGTCACACTAATGTTGACGGAAGAGTTGGAACGAAGTTGAGGACACATGCAGCTGTTCCAGTGTTTTGGGATGAAGATGAGGATGAGAATGTGAAGTGATCTCGAGAGGACCTGGAACGTTGATATTGAGGAATCTTATCTTAAACCTTCTACCGTGAACTGTGACTCTACATTTGAATTCCCAACACCTGATGGTTTGGACTGCATAAACCTGCATATTAAAAGTTACTGGCTGTGCTTTAATCAAGGACCCACAGTGAATCATCAGGCATAATGGTGCAGCGCTGCGGCACGGAGCTTTTTAAATCAGACGCTGCAGATGAAAGGTCGGCCCTGCTGCCTTCAGCTGTCTGCAGAAATGTAAATAACGAAGGGAAGCACTTAAATACCATGTAAAGAAATCACTCACCCATCGTTAATGCAGTACACTGCACTATGTTTAGCCAAAGTGTTTCATTTTATATTTACATAGTGCACAGAATGCAAGGAAACATGCACTTTACAGGGAACAGAAACAGCTAAATACACAAAAATACCAAAGCAGCAGAGAAGCAGTCAGTACAGCACGGACATGAAGTAGCAGGGTCGCTTGTGCCGCCACAGAAATAGAGCCCAGTGTCTCAGGGGACTTACTGACTCACCAGGACTTTCCTCCTTGACAGTCTTCTCCTCTTTGGGCTCCAACACCGGCGTTTTCTGCACCTTACTGCGGTGCTCTGGGGCCAGTCTCGACCTGAAAACACATAGCACAGGGTCATGTGAATCAGGCGCAACTTGTTAGAAGTAAATAATAAATGTTGTGAATGAAGTATGCATATATACACTCACAGCCTCTTCTTGTCCACCATTCTCTTGACTCGGATGGCCCTCTGTTCAGAGTACAGCTTACATACTCCTTAAGAACAAACAAGATACACGTGATGCTGCCATGCAGTCAATGGATGCCTACATCACACTCCACAGGAGCACACAGTTTACATTGTAAAGAGTTGCATGAACTTACCTCTCAGAAACATTTCAATGAGGTCCAGCACTGCCCCTCTGTGCTCCTTTATCTGGGCTGATGTCACCTGCTGCGCCGCTGTTGTGACATTAAAACATTCTCTTTATTACAGACAAAAACTAGTGTGTTTCCAGCCACCTGCTGATGTTTTGAAAGTCAATGCGAGACAAAACTACCACCTGGAAGCATACTTTACATTTCCAATGATATCTCTAAAGTAGTTCACGTGCTGCACGGTAAAACAAGCGCGCACCTTCATTGCGTAGCTGCTTGATGGCCTCGGAGCAGGTCCTCATGAAGATCTGAGCATCCTGGTCAATCTGGTCTCGTTCATTGTCCGTCATACGGGTTAGATCTGACGAGATGAGACTGTGAAACACACAAGAACAGCCACAGTAAGTTGAAATACTTTGTGGGCATGTATCCAAAGCTCAACGTTTGACTGTTATCCAAACAAAGACTATTTAGAGCACAGCTCTATTACAAGTGGCCTAAATACTGACACGATGCCTTGCTCCTCCCTACTATTCATGTCTAACTTCAACCACGTTCTGCACCCCCTTCACCTCCATGTGGAACAGAGACCAATCCCATCATGCACTGAGTGGACGGCAGGCCCACCTCTGAACATTAAAGCTTCCACAAACTGGCAAGTTACGAGTTTCCCCATTCAGCTGAGCTCACGGTTTGTTACTTTCGGAGGAAATTGAAACAATCTGAGGAGAACATGAAGCTCCACACAGAAATGAGCATCAGCGAATTGAGACCTACTGTCTCCCTCTGGTGGACTTCTGACACACAACGATACTCTTTCGGAACAAACGTGTTGTATACAAGACATGCATAACATTTGTAAAGGGCTTGTGACAATCTGAAATACTTTGGTTTAATAAAACTGGAAGAACTTGAATTAAGAATATATATGTATGATAAAACCAGAGCGAGAGTTTTTTTAAATATAAATTAGCATAAATAAGAACAGTTTCTGGTTTACGTCATAACTTTTTGAATTGGACAGTTGGTTGGACATAACAATCGAATTGGATTCTGGGAAATTGCGATGGACATTTGTCGCTATTTAATGACATCTTACAGACAAAAATAATCAACAGATTAATTGATAATGAAGATAACCATTCCGAGGAGCCTCTAAATAAAACAAAGGACGCAGTGATGAAAGCTGAACAAATCGTCCTTTATCATACTTACGGTGACCGAGAGAAGGATCTTTGGTTTGGTTACTCTCATAACATGTTATAACAATATATTCTAATCGATTAGGCTGTTAATTTAACCCCAGCCATACTTGGTGTAAAATGATTGACTAGTTTGATAAACATTTGGAAGTGAGTTTAGTTTAATCCGCAGCGTTTCATCACTCTGTCAGGCAAAGTCACAGAGAGGAGGAAAAACGGAGGTTGATAAGAAAATTGGAAGACAGGAGCGGCCGACTGCAGACGAGACTTACACCACAACTGATGGCTTCTGGATGGATTCTCCCACCACTAAATACTGCTGCACTCCACCCACTGACATCTCCAATGTTTAGTTAATCGGTTCTGCTGAGGCTTCATCAACAAACCTAACGAAACAGAGGCTACTTCACCCCCCCCCCCCCCCCCCCCCCCCCCCCCCCCTCCCCACCTACAGGACACAGAGGGGGGCTTGGATTAGTCTCAGGGCGTGATTTGTTCTTCACTTGCTTGCAGCTCAATTATTCCAGACAATTAGACTGGAGGCAGCCGACACAGACCACCCTACTCGCTGCTGACCTTGTGCCAGCAGACAGCACGCACGCACGCGCGCACGCGCACGCACACGCACACACACGCACACACACACACACACACACACACAGGAGACAGATTTGACGATACCTTCAAGTAGCCCTGACTCCTGACCTTCCCTGAATTGACTCAGAATCAAAGTGTTTGTCTCTTTCCCGGCCTCCCCTTGCAGCCTTGAAGGGTTTTACCGGCTGCTGTTGTTGATTGTGGTGGATTAACTGGGACTGTTTGCCGTGGCTTACCTTCCGGCGCTCACGTAATCTTTCCTGTGTTGCAGTAGAAAGTCTTTGAGCTTGGTGATGTTCGAGATCTGCCGAGATAAAGTGAGAAGAAGCATTACTTGATTACCTTCGTGTCGACGAGTCTCTTTAAATGCTACGCCTCAGATGCCCCTTCACATATGTCAACGGCTTAAGAAAGAGGGGTTTTTTAGACTTGTACCAGGAAACTATTTTCTCCCGACTACATTCAGACAGAGCCAGAGTAAACGCAGCATTTTGTATTTATTGGATGTGACAGGCGACCAATGTCTGTCTGTCTCTGTGAATTCTCAATATTTGCTTTTGACAAGTCATCAAGTCACGGACATGCAGAAATCAAACCTGCAATTTCCTCGTCAAACAGCTCTCGTAAATAAAACCATGAGCGGCGGCACACAGAGCACTGACAGAGCTATCTCTAATAAGCTTTAAATTCACGATCGGTTACTATTTATCACGGAGAAAATGTCCAAAGTGCGTGTGTGTGCTCAGGCAAACTAGAGGAAACTTGGTTCAATCCAATATTTGCTCCTGTAATTCGGTCAAATATTAAAAAAGACCAAATTGCTTCCCTGTCCACAGAGCTCTGCTGGCAGGCTGCAAGTGGGTGTGAACGCGCACACAGCGGGCTCTGTTGGATCCACAAGGAGACAGAACTCAGACAGGCCGAGGATTGAAAACTGACACAATGAGTCTGACTGTGACAGCGACCCCGGAGCACGGGAGATTATTTTGAAAGCATAACATCACTGTCTTCAGCCTTCAGCTTTTTCACTCTAACAACCTCAATTATCAAATTGCCTTGGCTGTGAGGGAGGGGGGGGTCCAATAATGTCTCTAAACATTCGTTCCTAGCGTCACGGTGACCTGAAGCGGTGTTTTATTTGAGCCGACACGTTTCTCGACGCTGAGAGAAGGTGTCAAGATAAACAGAGCGGAGCAATTTGTTAGAAAGGTAGAACTCCTTCTTTGGTTTAGAAGGTAATTCAGTGACGTACGTCACTGCTGTGGGGCACTAACTCAGGAAAGGGCTGTTAAGGCAAGCCGACCCTTGTAATAATACAATTATTTGAGGTCAAGAGTTAATTGTTGTTCGGAGCAGTTGAGCTTAGAGGGAGGTTCAGAGGGGAGAAGAGAACCTTTATTATGGTTCAAAGTCTTTCAAAAACATTATCCATTATGTAGTGTCTCAGTGAACGAGGGAAGTTTGAAGCGAAACTCCTGCAAGATTGATAAAACTACGGCAATGTAGCCCAAATGTCCTGGGTGATCCAGCGGGTTAGAACAAATTAAACGTCTTTTTGAAATGTTTTCTTCAGCAATTAAATGATGCATTCAGTCATTCCAATACGTCTCTTACAGTAGAGACGAATAACCCATTGGTCGTCAGATGTTTCATTGAGAATAGTGTTCGTTGTGACATCTTAGTACGTGCTTCATTTCCAGTAGTGATTCATCATTTATCTCACCTCCAAGATCAAACACTCAAATCTAATCTAAAGTATTTCATGTGATCTACAGCTGAAATAATTACTCGATTAATCAATTAGCCAACAGACCACAAATTAATTAACAACTATTTTGATAAAACTTTCGAGGCTCCATTGTCTCGAAAGTGACTTTTCTTTGGTGGTTTTCTTTGTCTATGATGGTGCACTAAATATGTTTGATGCCTGGAATGTGCGTCGGAGAACATAAGACTTTTTATGGGGAACTTGCTTACTATTTGCTGACATTCTATAAACAAGACAATAAGCTGCAGATAAATGGATAATAAAAAGAAACGTTCATTTCTTGCCTTAATCTCAATTTGTAAACCTCCGGTCAATGTATTTATTTGATTTTTAAAGGAGACTAAATTTGCCCAGGCCTTTGAGTGCTGAAGATGTGGCAGATTGTCATGAAATTATCTTATTAAGCCTTTGACCCCTTTATCTAAGAAAAACTAAAGAAACCACTGTGGAGTTTCAGTAACTAAGTTTTTGAGAGTTGGTCTGCCACAAAGTGGAAAACACAACCCGCTACAAGGCATGACTAATTCATATTGTACTATAAACTATATTTTCTGCTTGCAAGTAGTACTTGGCTTCAGCTTTTTATTTATGTACAAAATATATTTGTCTGCAGAACTCTGTCCACTGCACTGCAGCTTTTGACCAGCAGGCAGTGCTAAATCCACAGCGTTGGGACATAAGGCACAATTAAAAAAATAAAGAGTGCATTGTGCGTGTGTGTGTGTTGTGGGGGTGCCGGGGAGTGTCAAGAGTGCTGCTCTGGGGGTTGAGCTGTCTCCTGTGTGTATACATTGGAGCTCGGATTCCCAGCACAACCTCAAGGGTTTGCAGGGGGTCAGAGGGATCAATTGCTCTTGTAACTTAAGACCCTAAAGAGCAAGTAATTCCTCAACAATGAGGAAGGGGGTGGCCTTGTGCATGTGGCTCACCGTATACGTGTGTGTGTGTGTGTGTGTGTATGTAGCTATATGCGAGTGTGTGCGTGTGAAATACGTGCAACCGGCATAGCTGTGTGTGTGTGTGTGTGTGTGTGAGGCAGAGCTCGCAGCGACGGCAGAAGGAGACAGTCTGCCGGGCTACGTCTAATCTCGTCATCATCAAAGACCCCCACTTTACCTCCTCACTTTCTCCTTTCCCCTGTTTCCCCTCCAGCCCCGATTGAGCCCAAACAAACCATCAGGGGGGATTATTACGAGGAAGAAAAGAGAAACGGCTTAGCTAACAGATCTTCTAAAGAGCTTGGATGGCTCTTTGTTTCGTTAAAACCAGGTAACTGACAGAATTCGATGATGAGTGCCCCGGCATCGGTTCAAGACCCTGTGTGTCCTGACCGAGGGCGATCCCCGCTGACGCCATGCTATGTTGTGTTTCTGGGTACGTGGGCCTGACAGAGAGAGGATGCTTCGGTGGAGAAGACTCTGCCACATGCTGGTTTTATTATCATGTTTATGTCTGACTCTCCAACGGGATTAGTTTTGTCTTCTCGCAGTACGAATGCTTTAGTCAGCTCCATAAACAAACAAGAAAGTGCCATCAAAGAAGACTTTTGATATTATTCATGAACGGGGTCTTTGACCCTTTTATGATATGCGCTAAAAGTAGTATTACTGTGTTTTCATAGTAAGCAGCGCTTGTATACAGTCGTGGTGTCTGTTAATTTTTGATCAGATCATACATGGATACAAAATGTAATTTATGTAATATTCATGACATTTCTTTACAGTCTATTTATCGGGTAAATAAACAGACTCCCTCCCTTCCTCTCATTCAGTGACTCCATCTAGAATTAAGATTACTTTTGTATTAATACCGCAATATAAAGTAACCGATTTGCTCCAAAATCCCCATACACACATCAAGCCTTACTTCCTCTTTTAAACTATAAAATCTGAAACTGCACACATCTTTGATTTAGGTTGGGATGGCGTCTCTTGCAGTGTATCAGCAACCACCTTACTTTTGCATGCAAGTCAATGGGTTGTTGCAGCTGAGCAGTTACAATGTTGTTTTATCTTCTTTGAACACATAAAAATGATTATATGCTTTGAATATACCAATAAATAAATATGGACATTGTGTAGCCATGATCCTGAATTGACGATACATAATCAATACTCCATGTCTTGTACTAATATCTTAATCTAGAACAAAAGAACCCACTCGTCTCTAAGTAGAGGAGCACACATCTGTTTCATGGTTCAGACTCTGTGTTTTGAAGTGTCAGGGTCAAGTATGCCGCCTGCTGTCATCTGCATTGGAAGTATTTCAGTGATTGTAAATCACAATGGCTTCAGATTGCGCAATAACAAAAGCTTGACAGCGTTCTTCAAAAAGCGCCAACAGCGGCTGCTTTAGTCGTCCTACGTGTTCAAATGTTTAAAATTGAGCGCAACGTTTTGTTCGGCTTAAACTATTTAGTCTGCAGAGTATCCGGTGTCCGTCTTACGATTTAGAGTTTGACATCCATCTGTAAATCTGCATTTCAACACTTTTATCCTTCCTCTTTTATTTTCATGTCACGAATCAGGCAAACGCATTTTGTTGCACGCATTGAAACTAAATAACAAAGCTTGTGCTGAGGCCTGACAGGATGCCTCAAAATTCAATTTGCCTGGCTTTCATGGGAAAACAGTGCAAAGATTAGGCCGACTGGTAAAGAGACCATTTAGCAGCGCGTTCATCTCGGGGTGATCCCTGCAAATCCCTTCCCCATGGCTGAGGTCCTGGTAGAGTATAGTCCCGGTTTTGACAGCTGCATGTGAGGACGTTTTTAACCTGTGTGCCAAGTTTGGGATTATCACGCATTTACCCATCCAGCCGAGTTTTTGTAAATAATGTCAAATACAATTACAGATTGCACACTTCCGAGTTAAAAATACAACAGGTTTCACACTTAAAATTTGTCTCATGAGACAGAATCATAACAAAGTCAGGATTTAGCTTTTTATTTACAACATGGATGATTGTTTTTTTTACACCCTGAAATAATTTTTGGACATTTGTAAGGCTATTTTGTGAATATTCACATTGGTAAATTTTAGCTAAAGGCTTTGTGCTTTCACCTTAAATGTTTAAAGTTTGTTACTTGACAAACAATAACTTTTATTTAAGAAAACACAAATGCCCCTTAAGACAGATGGGCAGACTGACCAGCGGAGTCCCGGGACGCCCCCTCGACCCAGTGGAGGTGGTGGGAGAACGGAGAATGGTGGCTAAGCCATAGTCCCTGATGGAGAACATGTCCCACCCCATGCAGGACCCTGTAACAGCACGGGGCAGCCCCTCTAGTGACAGGCTGCTCCACCTGCAGCGTGTGAAGGTTCCTGCTTCTAGCAGACTATTCTAATTCTATAATATTCTATTCTATATGTTCTATAATGTGAAGTCAACCGCTCAGTCTATCTACAATTATAGCAGATTTTAGATTTTGTTTTTTACTGTATATTTATCTATTATATCTTTACTAATTATTTTTTATTTGTTTTTTCTGATGCCTCTCGTTGCACTATCCCTTTAGCTGCTGTAATACTGAACATTTCCCCCCTGTGGGATTAATTTAGTTTATCTTAGATTTCCACACTTTATTCCCTAAATGATCGGCATTAATGCCGACTTGTAAATGTCATTGCTGTATACCATCTGCTGCTGTGGCTGTACGCTATCGAAACGCAAAGATCTGCCAACATGCTCCAGCATCAATAGAATCATAAAAAAAACAGTTCAGAGTTTGGTCTCCATCACAGATTCAACATATCCCATATCCCTATTTCATTGGGGGAAATAGTTGACTTTTATATCCGTAATCAGACATTATTTGGAGTCATATAGTCCCAAAACATAACTTTGATGAAATCCCAAATGTTTAACCTTCCATTTTACACTTGGAAACGTGATCGTCACTGACAAAAATATAAAGTAAAACAGATTCCTAAATGTTTTGAGAATATACAAGCATACTATTTCAATGTGAAAGTTGTCACAGGGAGGAGGAGGAGGAGGAGGAGGAGGTCAGGGACCCCGACCCCCCCCTCTATCAGCACAACATACTTTTAAGTGCTGGCCGATGGCCACACTTTCAGGGTTTCTAAGAAAACACTGTGAGAAGGAGCCAATTTTGGAATACCTATACCGAGGGCACAGTGGGGAGCCGAGCACTATTTTCTACACACAATTTACCAATTTTAAAGTGACCTCCTCCATTTAAACTCGAGAAGGGCAGCATGCTGCAGAGAGAGACGAGGTGAGCAGTGAAATGGAGATCACAGTGCCCCAAACCGACCCCCCTATGAGGTAAAAGATTCCCCTGACCAAACCCCACCCTGTAAACACCGGCCCTCTTATTAGTCAATCGAGGCCCTGTTTTTTTGTTGTTGCCTTGAACGATGCTGAATTTCCTTTCTCTTTGAGCAGGAAAAAGACTCACGGGACCACTGTGTATTTGTCAACTTTGATGTTTTCCTTCTATTTTTGTGAAGCTTCAGTGGGAACTTGGAGAGTTATGCATGTCTTGAAGGGCACCCACATCTGTTGTGCATTAGGTGCCGGCCGTCAACATTGTTACTGGGGACCTAATTTAATATTTTCTCTGTTTTGATCTTCCACCTTTAATCACTGGCTCTTGGGAGGATCGGCTTTCCCCGAGAAATTGTCCGAGAGCCGAAAGAAAATGTTATTGCAGTATGTTTATGGAATCGTACATGTGAAGAGGGGACTTGCACACACAAAAAAAATTCTGCCTATTTCAGTCTGTACAGAGAAGAATTGATAGTCAAGTTGCGGGTGAAAACCGCGACATAACTGTAAGCAGTCTGGACATTCCAAGCTCGCAATTTCAATTTCTACAAAAGCTGCTTCACCGAGATGGTTTGAGAATTCATATCTGCAGCGTGAGGGACACAGCAGTTGGGGGGGGGGGGAGAGCAGAGGGCAGGCACCACAGGATAGGTTTGGGTTTCTTTGAATCAGCACCACTGCTTTTATTAAACCACCATTTCTAATATAAATGTAACTGAACATAACAAAAAGCTAGTTGTGCAGAGCTGCTGTGACCAGGCTCATGTTCGCCTCAGACTGATGGTTGGAGACATCAGGTACAACTTAAAGTCCTGACTCCCCGAGGGAAACGTAAAGTGGTTCTTCAAGGTGCCTTTGAAGAGGTTTGTGTTACGATGTGTACGATATTTATGTCAGGCCAAGGACTTCTGGCGGGGGATCAACTCTCGTGACATGGAGCGAACCCTTGTAGTTCCCAATGATCCACTACCTACTGCCAACCATTGACGATGTCTCTGTACCTCGGTGGAAGAATAAAATTTGAGATGTTTTCAGGAACTAATTAAACACCAATGACAGCCCTTCTGCCAAGTGTTAAGGTCAAGATGTGCAATTTTACGTCGTCTTTCAACAGAGGTACTGAAGTAAAAATGTCCTTGCTGACGATGTGAATACAACCTAGAGCCGAACATTTGTCTGAGATTGAAAACCTATTTTAATTAGCTCTGGACATTGTGAGGGAAACTCGCCATTTCTTCTCAATCTAAACAGAGTGAAGAGAATGCTCTTTAGAAGTAATGTTTCGGCTTCCGCAGCCTAAAGTCTAGATCTCTTTGGGCAATTTTCCGGGTCGGTTCAAAGCCCAGAATCTAGCTCTGTCGATGTTTAGGGAGCAGTGGTGCTCGGACCCGACAGTTGGCCCAAAATATTCTGGGCATAAAACTGCTGAGTCTGGCCAGTTGGCCCAATGCGAGTTATTTTTAAAAAAAGCTAACAACTTAGCTTTTGTCTTCCAAGATCTCAAGCAGAGCAGCCATTTATCCTGATTTGAAAATTCCTGTAGTCTGACCGAAGTAAAAATAGTGATTTCTAAGAGTGCTATTATATTTCAGTTATCTTTATCTCTCTGTGTCCAGTTGATGACATTTTGGAATTGAGTTTTCTTCAGAAGTAAACTAACTTAAGTTTTTGGAATGATTGTTGGAATATAATGGTCAAGCAGGCGTGTAACAAAGCCGGCTTGCAGGGCAGAAGAGGACTTTTTGCCATGTCTGAGACAGAAAATGTAGTTTGAACTGTGTGGCAACATCAATGTCTCAATGCTTTGTGAATGGGTCCAGATATGAGCTATACAGACAGGCAGCACTGTACACAAAACACATGACGAAAAAATCACATGTGTTCAAGATGTAGATATGTGCCAAATGGGTTGAATAGACCGAACGGAAACTGTAAGAATTTTAGTCTCAAGCCATGCCCCATTTGCTAACTGCAATGCACATTTACGCCAGAACAGTGGGCACCTTGAAACAGACAGAGTGCATTAAAAGCCAACACAACGGTCCAGCCTCACCAGCAGTGACGCAGTGAAAGACGGACAAAGGACGGCTGTTGTGATTGGCTGTCTGGAAAGTTACTCTGTTTTGAACACATTGAATTAATTTTGGATTTATAGAAAACCAGTGCATCACTAAAACACTTCAGAGGAAAAGTAATTTCCCTTTTTGAGTAGATAACTAACACATTCAAAGGGAGAAAATAAAGCTCTGACTCACTGAGTGACATGATTATGGTTTGTGGTTTGAATGAGATCTCTGAAAAGGATTAAAGTATACTTATTCAAGACTGTAAGGTTAATACTTCTTCTGTATACAACTGGGAAATTCTTTCTTGAACATGAAAGATATAGAAATCATGCTCTGCTGGCATTCACAAGGCCATGACAGGTTATGTTTTGGTGCATTGCAATTTGACTGCCTCCTTGAATTTCCTGAACCAACTTACAGCAAATACATTCTGATTGAATCAGTTTTGGCACCTTAAACATGACAGTACTGGGACACTTTAATGCATGCGGTTCTAGTGTACTATTGTGCACCATGATCTAAATATGGGGCTAAATAACAACAGCTCAATAATTAGACAAGTAAATGATAATACAGCTGACACGTGTATCAACACATCAACGCCCTCCAACTAAACCTGCAGAGTAACAGCAGTTAGGAGGATATAAGCATCCCATTAGGGTTGGCCAATGATGATGATATCTACTTAAAGATTATAAAATGTGTCAGCTACCAAAGATTTGCATTAATATGAATTAATATTTAATATCTCTGGGTGTATTGGGCAATGTTAGGAATACATACGCATGGCTGCTTTATGGCAATACTGGATTTATGTATGAGCTTAGCATCAATGTAGTGAAGTGCCATTATGTGTCAGATATTTCATTAATTTGTGATAAATAATATAGATTGGGACAGAGGATTTTATCCACATTGCCCACTCCTAACTCCCATTTACTTGACGTTGCATTCAATAAAGTTGTCTTATGATTTATAACGTTACACCGGTGAGAGAGGCCTTAACTGTGAACAGCTGGTACACATTGAATGGTCTAAACTGCTGTACACACTTCACAGGCTAACTGCTGGTTCTACAACACAGCATGAGCAACAACGTCATTAAAACAGCCCCGTGTTCAGCTGTCAGTACACATAAAGTCAGTTAGTTTCGATGCTAGCCCCAGTTAGCTAAACGTTAGCTTGAGGAAACACTCACCACTTCTTTCGCCTTCCGAGAGAAGCCGCTCTTGGGTCCGCTCCTCTTGAAAATCTCATCTTTGGTAGAGTCAGAGCCTATTCCTATCGCCTTGTTCCTGGTTTTTACCGTCTTGACACTGGCTTTGAAAAGTAAAGTTATATCCACAGCCATGTCTGTGCAGCTGCAGCGCGGAGACCGCTGTAAACAAACTGACACGTCACCGGGTGACGACGTCATCGTCCTGCGACATTGTGGATTTTCCCTGAGACGGAGAAGAAAGCCTTACGTTTCACCTTAAGGTTTTTACCAGTAATTATTTACTGTAGCGTGTACTGTAGCTCGTAGTATTTACATTCAGCAAAGGTCTGACCTGCAATCAAGTTACTCTTCGCCTTGGTTGGGTTCCAGGTAACGAAAATCTTAAAATAAAAAAAATCTCTTAAATATAATAACTTAAGTTAAAAAAAGACTTAGGTTGAAGGTTTTGCCTTTCAGTTAGATTATTTTGTTTGATAGTATAATTGCATTTAGTTGTGTTGAATTTTCTGCACTGTATGCAATCACTATATATATATATATATATATATATATATATATATATATATATAT